TGAAAAAGTTGAATAAATGTTTAAATGTTCAAGTTTAATAAATAAATTGTTCGATGAAAAATGCGATTCTATGTATCATTTATTTAATCACTAAATTTTGAAGAATAATTTGGCTCATCAGAATTATCCAATAATAATTCGAATAATCGAATCAGGTGGTTTTGTTTTATCCATGGTCGTTTAGACAGTTTCCTTTGATTCCTCGTTTTCGCGCGACGAATTATGAACACACAAGCTCCACTCAATTTTCTCGATGCGCATGAGCGAAACCACCATGGCGCCTCTATCGAAAATTCTGAAACCGAAATTTCCGGCCATTTCCGGCTCCGAAATCTGCTATGAAGTTGACAGACCCTGGTGGATTCAAATGCATGAGCGCGCTGGAGAGTACAACGATGACTGAAACAAACGACTTCAGGTGTCTCCCGATTCAAAACAAAAAAAAGGAGAACAGTCAACTAGCTGCTACAATGCGAAACTGTTGTTACTCATTCCAAAAAACTCATGTCAATTTATTACTTAGAGTGTAATTCAAAGTGAAACAATTGAACATTGTTTTCATCTAACTTGTGTTCATTATTAAATTATCCTTCATCCAACACCGCGAGAATTCAGTCGCGTTAATTGTTATTAGTTTGATTCAAATGTTAAAGGCATTGTGAACATAGTCCTTCGAGCCGGAGGTGGGAGAAATAATTATTGACACACAAGTTAACTGAAAAAAAAACATCGCGTTTGCTAGAGTCAAACCGTCTGTTTCTAATTGGAATCACCGCGCGACTTCTCGGAGATAAATCGAGTATCGTGCGTGGCCACGTGCTAGGCTAAACCTAACCTGCAATTATTAATTAATGTCGCCAAATAAAACGTTGAAAGCTGAACTCTAGGCAATTAATAATAACCTGGCTCCCTTGGAGAAACATCAGAACGAAAAATTAAAGAGAAATTCATTAGTAACAAAACCATAACCTCAGTATGTAACAACGTGTTATCTTGTCGAAAGAGTAAAAGTGTTAGTGATCAAAACCGAAGCATTGGAGAGCACTCTGGACGTTGTGCTGCTTTGATGATCAGTGACTTTATGTGATTAACGAGTAGTGATTGTTCTTGCGAGTAAGAAAATTATCAAGCTCCAAAATGCTGTATACGCCGGACGCATCACTCTTGGCCGATGACGACACTTTCGAGAAAACGATGGAAACACTTGAGGTGAGAGTAAGCTTAATGAACAATGAACTCTCGGCTTTCAAGGCATTACCAGTAGATCAACGAACTCCAGTCGCTGCCAAGCTGGCCTTAGAGCAACACGATGTGTTCTGTCAAGAAATCAAACTGCTTGACAGACGAGTACGTCGGCTAGCAGGTCCAGATAACAAGAGTCACAGGTACTTTGTCACTAAGGGATTGGAAATTGCTCATAATCAGTATTTTAGTGGTAAGAGATACTTCACTGAATTGATACACGCATTGAACCCAAATCCTCCACCAGCAGCAGCCGCCCCACAACCAAGCTCCAGCCTCCCATTCAAGTTTGAAAAAATCAAATTGCCCAGGTTTAATGGAGAGAGCTCCAAATGGACAACTATAGAAACCTCTGGCTCTCAACCATTCAGAATGATGTGAATAGTTCCGATGTTCAGAAATTTCACCTCCTGGGCACTTCACTCTACAGTGAGCCTTCGCCCTAATCGAGAACATTGAGGTTAGTGACCCCAATTATGAAACTGCTTGGAACTTGCTGAAAAATCGTTATGACGATGAGTGTGGGTTGATCTGGGCGCATCTGAAGGGCCTCTTCAGTATCAAGAAGATGAAGAATGAATCAAGCGACGAAGTACGACGCCTGTATGATGAGACCACTCGTGCTTATGAACAACTAGCCAACATTGGCAGGAAGGTCGATCAATGGGACGACTTGCTGGTCTATCTCACAGTTAATAAACTGGATGTCGAGACGCGCAAATACTTAGAGTCACATGCCAACTCAACCAAAGTTTTCCCCACACTGGATCAAATCAAAAAATTCCTAGACGATCGTGCTCGCAGGCTGTCACGAATGCCTGTCACCCCATCGAACCTCAAGACTCATCAAAAATACACAGCCAAAGCGCTCCACTCCTCAACAGAACCCAAGGTTATATGCCCTGCTTGTCAGCAGTACCACACTCTCAGTTCATCTGCAACGTTCAAGGGCATGTCCCTACGCGATAGGAGAGAATTTTCTAAAACTAAATCCTTGTATTTTAACTGTTTTCAAGGTGACCATGAGCGGAAGGAGTGCGAGAATACGGGTCACTGTCGTCATTGCAAGAGAAAGCATCACGCGCTACTCTGTAACTCTCCACGTCAGCCAGCCAAGGACAAGAATCACAGTAGTGCTGCTCACGCAACAGTTGACAGTAGTGATAGTGAGTTTGTCACATCGAGTTCGAGCTCAGATGAGGAAATCGCACTACAAGACGAAACCCTGGCTAACGACACAGTGGCATGTCAAGTTAGCCCACTCAATGCAGCACCTGAGAACTCCATTCTACTCGCCATTGCTATTGTACGACTCCGATCCAAGGATGGACGAATCGTTTCGGTAAGAGCACTGCTTGATCAAGGCTCACAGCTAACATTCGTTAGCGAGTCCATCGCCCAAGCGCTTCGTGCTCCCCGTACTAGCGTAGATGTGACGATTGCTGGAGTCAACGGAACCAGGGCAGCTTCTTGTCGCTGTGCCATTACTTGGGAGCTGCTTCCTGGTGATGGTAAAACCCCCATTCCATCACTGCCCACGTACTCCCTAAACTGACGTCTTACGTTCCACTACACGCTACCACCGGAGCAGAATGGAACCACCTCAAGGGACTCAAACTCGCTGACCCAATTAACTCCAACAAGCAAAGAATCGAGCTGATAATTGGTGCAAGTCTATATTCAGAAGTCATCCTGGAAGGCATTCGGAAGGGCTCAGCCAACACTCCTTTAGCACAGGAAACAATATTTGGTTGGAGTGTTACTGGTCTCCAAGCAAGTCAGCAGAAACCTACGCCCGGAGAGTTTTCTTCTCTGTACTGTACTATTAGGAAAAAAGTCGACACACTGATTCGTCGATTCTGGGAAGTAGAGGAGATCTCGACAACCATCGGGCTAAATGAGGATGATCAAAAGTGCGAAAATCACTTGAAGGAAACTCACTCACGTAGACCAGACGGAAGGTATTCAGTACACCTGCCTTTGAAGGGAGCGCTCCCCTTGAACATTGGAGAGCCTTACAGAATAGCTCTCAAGTACTTGGAACGCCAGAGAAACTATCTTCGAGCCACTCCTCACCATCAAATCGAGTACGATAAGTTCCTTCAGGAATATTTCGATCTCGGCCACATGGAACCATCACCCGAGTTCGACTCAGAGAACCTGAAACCCGTGTACTTGCTCCATCATGCAGTATTGAGAGAGGACAGCACCACGTCGGCCCTTCGAGTGGTCTTCAACGCATCCAGTAAGACTACAAATCAAACTACATTGAATGATCATCTGCTCATCGGTCCACAACTGCTTCCAGACTTACTCGATATCATCTTACGATGGAGGATGCACCCAGTGGCATTGCGTGCAGACGTCGAAAAAATGTTTCGTCAAATACTGGTAGACCCTGAAGAGAGGCATCTCCAACGAATTCTCTGGCGAGAACCTACTTCCCAAGTTGCAAATCATTCGACTTGAAAACAGTAACGTATGGAATAGCCCCAGCACCGTACCTAGTGAATCGAGTGCTGAAACAACTCGCATCTGACGAACGTCACTCATATCCCAGAGCTGCGATCATCCTCCAGCGAGACTTTTACGTTGATGACGCCTTTTTCGGAGCAAACTCAGTCGAGGAAGCTCAACAGCTCACTTTAGAACTCCAACAACTTCTTCAGACAGGTGGCTTCCACCTCAGAAAATGGACTTCCAGCCATCCTGACGCTCTTAAAAATACACCACCTGAATTGCTAGCTTACGATCCATCCGCTGAAATCAAACACAAGGACGCGGTCAAGGTGCTGGGAGTTCTTTGGGACATGAAAAGTGATGCCTTCACGATCTCCATCTCGCTAGAACAATCAGGAGGGTCCACCAAATGAGAGATACTGTCCACGATAGCCAGAATTTTCGACTCTGCTGGTTGGCTTACACGCACTACCATCGTCGCCAAGATCACGATCCAGGAACTCTGGTTATTGGGGATGAACTGGGACGACCAAGCAGCGGAGAGCGTTACCGAAGCATGGGAAAAGTACCACCAGCAGCTTATCGAACTTAAGGAAATCAGCATCCCTTGATTCATTCTTGAAGGACCCACTGACCCCCATGCAGAGCTCCATGGGTTCTGTGACGCCTCGAAACAGGCCTACGCAGCGGGTGTCTACCTTCGTGTTCCCAATACTAGCGACAGAGCCTCCATCAGCCTGATCATGGGGAAATCAAAAGTAGCTCCTCTCATGCACCAAACCATCGCTAAGTTGGAGCTGTGTGCTGCTCATTTACTCTCCCGAGTACTAGAGAGAGTGCAGAGTGCCATAAACCTCAAAAATACTCCCATCCATGCTGGGACGAATTCTCTAATCGTGCTGGCCTGGTTGAAGAAACATCCCTCTTATTGGCCTACCTTCATCGCTAACAAGATCTCAGACATACAAACAAGAACTCCAAGAGCTACCTGGCATCACGTACCCACTACGTCCAAACCTGCTGACTGTGCCTCACGAGGAATTTTTCTCAAGGATCTTCTCACACACCCTCTTTGGTGGCGCGGACCAGCTTGGCTGGAACACGCTCCAAGTCATTGACCAAAAACCCAAACTATCTACCAACCATTGGCAGTAGAACCTGAGTGTGACGTGCTGAGCTGTACCACGACACTAATCCAACCAGAAAATCCTGTGAATGAGATCGCCCCGGAAGACGATTTTCCGCTTCGATTCTCATCGTGGTCGAAATTATTGAGAGTTACTGCGTACTGCCTGAAAATGGGGACAGTAAAAAAATCGAGAAGAGCCTTGGTTATCCTGATCAACCAGGCACGGCTCCTCTGGATGCGAGGATCTCAAGCAGAGGCCTTCACAGAGCAGCTAAGACAATTAAACCAAGGTAAATCATTACATGTCAAGGACCCGCTAACTCGTCTCTCCCCCTTTCTAGATGATGAAGGCATCATCCGCCTCGGTGGCAGACTTTCAGAGGCCTCTTTACCATACGCTGAGAAACACCCGATCATCCTACCTGCTGGACACAACTCCAACCTCATCATTAGCGACCTCCATTTGAGAACCTTCCATGGTGGTCTACAAGCAACCTTAAGTACTCTTCGACAACAATATTGGATCCTGAATGATCGCCGAGCTGTTAAGGGTCCCATTCCCAAGTGCACCAAATGTCTTAGGTATGATGGAAAACCAAGAACTCCAATTATGGTCCACCTACCATCACCGAGAATTACCCCTTCTCCAGCCTTTACTCACACTGGACTCGACTACGCTGGACCCATCAACGTGAGAATGAAACCTGGGAGAGGTCACAAATCCTACAAGGGCTATATCGCCCTTTTCGTGTGGCTTGCCACCCGCGCCATTCATCTGAAAGTTGTCTCTGATTATACAAGCCAGACGTTCCTAGTAGCTCTAGATCGGTATGTTTCTCGCCGTGGAACCCCCTCGGACATCTACAGTGACAATGGCTCAAACTTCCAAGGAGCTAGGGGCGAACTAAAATTAGTTCAAACCCAGGTTGAACAAGACAACAATTTACAAGCTACAATGGCCACCCGAGGGATCCATTGGCACTTCATACCCCCAAGCTCCCCACATTTTGGAGGACTATGGGAAGCTGCAATTAAATCAGTGAAGAATCATCTGAGAAGGATGACCAACAACTGCACTCCAACCTTCGAAGAGTGGTCTACTTTACTCAGTAAAATCGAGTATTGTCTCAATTCTCGCCCAATCAGCCCTCTCCACGACGATTCTGAGGACCTAAACGCCTTAAAATCCGGCTACTTTCTCATCAGGGAACCGCTCAATGCCCTCTTCGTCCACCCTCGAGCTAAACCCAAACAGACATTCTCGATGGCAACTCGTGCACCAGATCAGCGATAGTTTTTGGAAAAAATGGCGAGATACGTACCTCCACACCCTCCAAACACGAAATAAATGGATGCTCAAGACGGAGAACCTCACGGTGAATGACCTCGTATTGATTCGAGATCTGCAGACATCACCGAGCAATTGGCCCCTGGCTCGAGTTCTAGAGCCCCACCCTGGTAAGGATGGGGACGTACGCATCGTCACCTCGAAGACGGCCACTTCAACCTATCTCAGACCAGTCGTGATACTCATCCCACTAAGAGTCATGGATGACTCAACCAATCGAGGCATGGCGGGCCGTGAACCCGCGTAAGACGTAAGAGAACTAGAGTTCTCTTGCCCTCACAGAAGCTTCCAGACATTCCAAAACCCCCTTTTTTTTATTAATTCTTTTTTTGTTATAGAATCCTTTCATTCTGTCAATGAGAGAATGAGACGGGCGGTATGTCCACGATTGTGGATTCAAATGCATAAGCGCGCTGGAGAGCACAACGATGACTGAAACAAATGACTTCAGGTGTCTCCCCATTCAAAACAAAATAAAAGGAGAACAGTCAACTAGCTATTATAATGCGAAACTGTAGTTACTCATTGCAAAAAACTCATGTCAATTTATTACTTAGAGTGTAATTCAAAGTGAAACAACTAAACATTGTTTTCATCTAACTTGTGTTCATTATTAAATTATCCTTCATCCGGCACCGCGAGAATTCAGTCGCGTTAATTGTTATTAATTTGATTCAAATGTTAAAGGCATTGTGAACATCCAAAGATTTAAACAGAAACTAAGAAAATTTCGTCATTGAGAGGAAAAACAGGGAAATTTTCAAAACGTAACATGCCAAATCGCCCCATTATCGCTTATAACCATTGACCTTGGTGATTAAATGGATAATATGGGGCATCATTTTGAAGATCTAGACGGGATCTATAAATTGACATATAATACATCCTCGTTGGTCAGGTCTAAAGCATCAATAAGTGGTAAAAACTTTAATTTTTGGCGTGTGACATAACTCAAAAAATGAAACAATTTCGGATAACTTGGTGAAAATTCGATGAAATTATAATTACCAGGCACCATTTTGAAGAATAGTAAATACCCTTCGAAATCATATATGATTAGTTTCATTTACTTGACCAATAATTATAAAAAAATCCAAACTGATATGAATTTGCAAAAAACATCATAAAATTCAATTCTTGGATAAAAACTCCCATAAATTTATGAAAATTCGCCTTAATCAAATAATTCAGCAGTCAATTTCAAGATAATTTGATATACTTTCACCTGAGCATAAAATATCTCGAGAGATTTGAACAAAAACCACGAAAATTTCATCATTAAGAGGAAAAACATGGAAATTTTCAAAACGTGACATGCCAAAATCGCCACATTATCGCTTATGACCACTGTGACCATCTATGTAATTAAATAGATAATATGAGGTATCAGTGTGAAGATCTCGATGAGATCTATAAATTGACATATGATACATCCTCGTTGGTCACGTCTAAAGCATCAATAAGTGGTAAAAAGTGTCATTTTTGGACTGTGAGATAACACAAAAAATGAAAACAATCTCCTATAATTTGATGAAAATTTAATTAAATCATAATTACCAGGCACCATTTTGAAGTATAGTAAATACCCTTCAAAGAGATATATGACTAGTTTCATTTACTTGACCACTAATTATAGAAAGATCCGAACTAAGCTAAATTGAAAATAAACATCATAACATTCAATTTTTGCATAAAAACTCCCATAAGTTGATGAAAATTTGTCTCAATCAAATAATTTAGTGATCAATTTCAAGGTAATTTGATATATTTTGACCTGAGCATGAAATATATCCACGGAATTTAACAGAAACTGAGAAAATTACGTCATTAAGAAGAAAAACATGAAAATTTTCAAAACGTGACATGCTAAAATCGCCATATTACCGCTTATAGCGATTAACTAAATGAATGGAATGGCTAATATGAGGTATCATTTTGAAGATATCGATAAGAATTACAAATTGGTGTGTGATTTGTCCCCGTTGGTCAACTCAAAAGAATCGCTAAATAGCAAAAAGTGTCATTTTTTGAGTGTGACATAACGTAAAAAATGAAAGCAATCTGCAATAACTCAATGGAAATTCTATCAAATGTGATTTATCATACACCATTTCAAAGACTGATGAATGCTCTTCAAAATGATATATAGATATTCTAGTGTAGTATACAGGGAAGGATCAAAAACTCCAGCCAAAGTTAATTTGTGAATTAAAACGTAAAACTTCATTTTCAGCCTAAAAGTATCATAACTACATGAAAAATGATCAGAATAGGATTACTCAGGTATCGTTTTGAAGCTTATTTAATGATCTTTCCAATACGTATACAACATTATGGTTCATGGAAGAGGGAGATGGGCTTGAGCCTAGAAAACAAAGAAAAAGCCGGGCGATGATCACGGATCTTTTACTAATGGATGGAATTAAAAAAAATGAATTTCGGGGAAAATACATGAGTATGCGGTTTCTCCCGGGGGGTGAAGACACCCGCCTATATCCGGAGGGATAAAAATTTAGGGGGTGAGGGGGAGGGGTTTGAGATTACATTGTTATAAAATTTGCTTCTCCGGAAACATGCGCTGATTTTTTATAAATTAAAAGTAAAATGAATTTCGGGGAAAAGACATGAGTATGCGGTTTTTCGGGGGGGTTGAAGACAGCCGCATATATCCGGAGTGATGGAAATTAAGGGGGGTGAGGGAAGGGGTCTGAGATTACATTTTTATGAAATGTACCCCCCCCCCGGAAAATGCGCTGATTTTTTATAAATTAAAAAAAATGAATGTCGGGCAAAATACATGAGCATGCGGTTTCTCCGGGGGGTTGAAAACAGCCGCATGTATCCGGAGGGGTGAAAATTTACGGGGTTAAGGGGGAGGGGTCACAAATTTCATTTTTACAAGAGTCATTTCTTCGGAAACATGTTGGGATTTTTCATCATTTTTTTAACAATCGATTTCGGGAAAAATACTAGATAATGGGGTTTTCACAGGGGGTTGCAGACAGACGCGTGTATCCGTAAGGTTGCACGTTTCGTTCGAAGAGGGAGGGGGGGGGCAGACAATAGTTTATCTGTATTCATAAATTCAAGCCCAGAAGAATGCGATTTCGTTAATTTCCAACTTTTCCTGCAACTTATTCATGAAAATGGTATAGAAAGAAATGTTACGTCTCGCTTGATGAAATCTGTATTATGATCATTATTTTTTCATGCAATTTTTAGTGTTAATCAGGAGTAATTGAATATCTGGTAGTCTCCATCTATTTAATGCAACTATCAGTTTATAGTCAAGTTTTGAACAAATGAAATAGTTCGCAAAAAAATATATAGTGCAGAGACGTGCTGGACAGGCTCAAAAGTGATTTGAGATGGGAATGGAAGATTTATTCAAGAAGATTTATTTCTCAACCCCCCGAAGAAACAACATACTCATGTATTTTCCCCGACATTAATTTTTCAAAAAATTGAAAAAAATCAGCGCATGTTTCCGGAGGGGTAAATTTTATAAAAATGTAATCTCAGACCGCTTCCCCTCACCCCCTCAACTTCTATCACTCCGGATATATGCGGCTGTCTTCAACCCCCCGGAGAAACCGCATACTCATGTATTTTCCCCGACATTAATTTTTCAAAAAATTGAAAAAAATCAGCGCATGTTTCCGGAGGGGTAAATTTTATAAAAATGTAATCTCAGACCGCTTCCCCTCACCCCCTCAACTTCTATCACTCCGGATATATGCGGCTGTCTTCAACCCCCCGGAGAAACCGCATACTCATGTATTTTCCCCGAAATTCATTTTTTTAATTTATAAAAAATCAGCGCATGTTTCCAGCGTGGTAAATTTTATAAAAATGTAATCTCAGACGCGTCCCCCTCACCCCCCTAAATTTTCATCCCTCCGGATATATGCGGGTGTCTTCAACCCCCCAGAGAAACCGCATACACATGTATTTTCCCCGAAATTCAATGTTTTTTTGAAATTCAATTCAGCGCTTGTTTCCGGGGGGGGGGGTAAATTTTATAAAAATGTAATCTCAGACCCCTCCCCTTCACCCCCCTTAATTTTCATGCTTCCGGATATATGCGGTTGTCTTCAATCTCCCAGAAAATCCCCAGTCTCGTGTATTTTTCCCGAAAATCATTTTTCAAAAAATTATAAAAAATCAGCGCATGTTTCCGGGAGGGTAAATATTATAAAAATGTAATCTCAGACCCCTTCCACTCACCCCCTTTCAATTTTCATCTCTCCGGATATATGCGGATGTCTTCACCC